AGAAAAAAAAAAAAAGTCATCATTGAGCAAAGTCCATATTGCTAGCTTTTTCCTCTTTCATCAACATTCCCTTCAGATACTGGTATTACTATCGTTGCAAATTGTATTTAGGGTTTTGGTATGAATACCTAACATCTTCATATGGTTCCACAGCAAGAAGGTGCAAGTAGACACTCAGGGAAAAGGCAATTTTCCTATTCCTGGTGGCAAACATTCAAATCTCGGGTGTCACATCGCAACCAAATGCCTTGTTTCCTTCCAGAGATATCTTATGCATTTATAAATGTTCTCAGGTTTTAAAAACAAATGATTGGGGGATGCCTGGGTGGCTCAGTGGTTGAGCATCTGCCTTTAGCTCAGGGTGTGATCCCAGATCTGGGGGATCTGCAGGGAGCCTGCTTCTCCCTCCACCTGTGTCTCTGCCCCTCTTTCTGTGTCTCTCACGAATAAATAAAATCTTTAAAAAACCCCAAATGATCGGCATTCTCTACCTGCCCTTCTTACTGGTCTGTCCACCCGGGTGACGCCTCGCTTTTTCATAAACCATATCCCTTAGAGATTATTTAACATCAGTGCCAAGAGAGCTTCCTCGTTCTCACCGGCAGCTGCCCCACGTTGTGTTGTGTAAAGGTGACCAGCCTCTTCCCCGTGGACGGACTTCCGTGATTGCAAATCATGTTCTCTCCAGCGAGTGATCTTGAGCCTGCAATCACCTTCCAGCTCTGACACTTATTAGTGCTAAACCTTGGGCACCTGATTAATAACCACTGCGAGCCTCAGTTTCCCCGTGTAAAAGGAGGTGATGATAGCACCCACTTCACAGGGTTGTTATTGCCATGATAAGGCAACCAGCGGGAAGGACCTGGCTAGACGCTGCTGTACGTCCCTCTGTAACTATTGATTTACATACCCACTGACCCCGCAGGAAATTAGTGATCTCTCCCCACCGCCTCACCCCTGACAGCCTGTTGGCAAAGCTCTGTTTGCTTTTTTTTTGCCCCTCTGTCATTTTGATGTGCCTCTGTGGGATCTCCAGCAAGGTTGTGTGTCTGGGGGTGGGGTTGGGGGTAAAGGGGGTGTGAAGTCCCGAGCACAGGAGGCAACTGGTATGTCTGTGGAGGATCCCGATCCTCTGAAGGGCTGGTCTCTAAAGTTCCAAGGAAGGGGTTAATGGGGAACTCAGCGAGGATTTCCTGTAAACCACGCTCCTTTCCTGGCTGTCTGCATGCCTGGAGTGGGGAGGGAGGCATGGAGAAACAGAACAAACTTGGCCCCTGTCTGCTTTGATTGCAACACCCCTTCTTTGGAAGGAGGGACAGTGCAAACCCCTGCTTACCATCCAGAATTGAGATTAGACTTCTGAAACGCGGGAGGGGGGAAAGGGGAACCTGCTAGGATCTCCCAACAGCCCCCCATGACTCCATCTATCCTCCTCCCCACCTAAACCCACCCGGTTTCCTGAATTCATCATAGCCTTAAACACTTCGGGCTCTGTGGTTTGATGGTGTCTGGTCCCCGGGCAGGTGTTGCCCCTGGCTTCTGCCTCCCTGCCACGCTTGGTTCCTTCTTTCTCAGAGCCTTAGTTAATGCCGCTGGATGGTGGGCTGGGGATCGATGACAGTTCCTGCGGTTTTTGACAATGAAAGGTGCTCAGATGCTTGGAACCTGGGCTTGGAGGGAAGCTTCATGCCCGTGGTGGTGCAAGTCTGGGAAGTGTCCTGGCCCTGACCCGACCCGACCCGACCCGCAGGGCCTGCTAGGAGGGAAGGAATTCTTTGAGGCTTCTTCCTGGCCCTGTGCATGTGCACTCACAAGTGTGGGAGGTGGCTGGCAGGCAAGATAAGGCAGCTGGGGGAGAAAGAGGAGGCTCGGGGGGGATGGCACTTCCAGTTAGCTGGTGCACCCTGCCCTGCATTCCAGGCAGGAGGGAGGGGGAGCTGGGCTGCTGGAGCTGGGTAGGGTATCTGGGACATACTTAACAAAAACAAAGTATTTGCTGTTTATCTGCAATTCAAATTGACCTGGGTGTCTTGTATTTCATCCTGCCACTCTCACTGGAAGGGCAAGGAAAGAAAGGAAAGGAAGTGGGGATGGGTTGTGGGGGCGGGGACGTGCCCCTTCTGCCACCCCAGGCCTGCCAGAGTGCAGTTTCTTCCCTGCTGCACCCCTTACCCTTACCCTCACCCATCAGAGGCGGTGCTGGTGCCAGGCCGGAGGGGCAGGTCTCCCCTCCCTCCTGACCCCTTACTTCCAGAGTGGGGTCCTTGCTACACTGCCTTCTGAGAATTTCCCTCCCCCTCCCACGCAACCCGAGAGCTTTCGCTACTCCCTCTATTTATTACCCATTAACTGGAAGGTAAACTTGCCCTGGTTGAGTCTGATCTGCCCCTTGGTTCCTGCCCCCAGCCCCCGCCCCTCATGCTCAGCAGAGACCTGGGCACCAGGGTCCCGTACCCTGGAGGATGCAGGGCCAGAAAGGTTTTGACTCCAGCTGCACCTGCTCCCAGCCTCTGTTCCTAACCTGTAAACGGGACCGTCACAGCCACGGCACGTCCCTCTGAGTCTTGGGGTGACAGACGGGTGGCATCGGCAGGCAGGATGGTCAGCCCGGTGCCCGGCACGTAGCAAGTGCTCGAGGCACTTGGACTGTATTTTTATTTTTCCCAACACCTGCTCCTCCTCCTTGGTGCCTTATTTCGGGGATAGGCCTGCCAGGCCTCCGGGCTGGGGGTCCCCCCAACCCCCTTTCTCCCTGTCCCCTGCATTCTCTGTGTGCGGCCTCTCTGCTGCAGACTTCTTCTAACCCACCTACTCTACAGCAACTGGGGACCTTTTTTTTTTTTTCTAAAAACACAGCTTTGTGATCCTACAGAATTATGATGTCGAGTACAGGCATGCACACTAACGAGGCGAAGGGCTCCGTGAGGCCCAGACACAGCACCTCATCTATCTCACAAACCTCGTGTGTTCTGCACCCCTACATTACAGACCAAGAAACTGAGGGCTTTGGCCACCTGCCCAAGATCCTCTAGCTGGCAGGAGCTGGGCTCCTGAGCCCCTGCTCCTAAACCGTATGAGTTTCTGACGGCTGCTGTAACAAATGACCAGGAATTTGGTGGCTTAAAAGAACACCTATTTATTATCTTACAGGTCTGGAGGGCAGAGATCTGCAATCGAGGTGTGGGCAGGCCTGCGTTCCTTTGGGAGGCTCCAGGGGAGGAATCCTCTTCCTGCTGCTTCTGCTTCTAGAGGCCGCTTCTCTCCGTGCCTGGCGGCCCCTCCCTCCAGCCCCACAGCACACCACCCTCCCAGCCAGTCACCCCTTCTCTGACAGACGTCACTGCCGCCTCTTACAAGGATCCTGGTGATGACACTGGGTAGAGTCCAAGGATCACCTTCTGTCTCAGGGTCTTTAACTAAATCACAGCCGCAGGGTGCCTTTTGTAGTGTAACGTAAAGTTGGCAGGTTCTGGGGATTGGTTGTGGATGTCTTTGGGGATCCTGATCCTGCCCACCCCTGCACGCACAGGAAGTAAAAAAAAAACTCGGCCCTGTATGGCCATGTCTTTCCCTGCTTTCAACTTTTCCGTGGCTCCTGCAGGCACTGGCACGAAGTCCAACTGTGTCTGTGTCTTTAGGCTCCTGCCAGCTGCTCCCCCTCCCCCCTGTCCCCCCCTTCCCTGCCAGCCCTACAGTGGGACTCGTAGGCTATTCTGGGCTTCTCTGCCTTGCAGCATAACTTCCTCAGTCTGCAATGCCTCTCCACTTCCTTGTCTGGCTGGACTATTTATTCATCTGGGCCCGTTATACTTGTTTCCGTTTGCAGGAAGACTTGACCCCAGCCCAATTCTCTACCCATTCATTGTCCCATGCCTGTGCAACCCTCCCGCCCAAAAAAGTATTTCCCAGAGCTCCGAAAGGGGCTCAAGGTGCTCCAGCTGAAGGGGACGGGACGGGGGACAGGAGACGAACTATATCTCTGGAGCTGCCTACGTGTGTGCACAGGTGCATCCCTAATCCGAGGTCATTCCTCAAAGTTCAGGGCAGTTCACGCAAGGTCAGGCTCACAGCATTATCATGTGTGATCCTCAGCAACCTGGTGGGACCCCCATTTTCCATGTTGGGAAACAGAGGTGAAACCACTTATCCAGGGTCACTCAACAAAGGGGGCAAGGTCGGGGCACCTGGGTGGCTCAGTGGTTGAGCATCTGCTTTTGGCTCAGGTCGCGATCCTGGGGTCCTGGAATCGAGTCCCACACTGGGCTCCCCACAGGGAGCCTGCTTCTCCCTCTGCCTGTGTCTCTGCCTCTCTCACGAAAAAATAAATAAAATCTTTTAAAAAAGGGGGGGGGGCACAGGTCAAAAGGTTTGGTTGCAGTGAGCCCAGGAGCAGAGGGGCAGCACACACAGTGGTTAAGTGCAGCTCTGAAACCGGCCTGCTGGGGTTTTGAGTCCCGAGTCTCCCAACTGGTGAGCTGTGTGGCCCTGGGCAAGTTACTTGGCCTCTGTGTGTCTCCAAGGCTTTTTAATAGGAATTAGGGTCAACAGAAGCCTTAGAAGAGGGTGTGGCATGTAGCAATCACTACGTGTTAGCCACGATTACCAATAGTCTTCAGTGTGGGCGACTTGGGGGCCTGCCAACCGCCCTGTTTGCCTCCCCTCCAGCCTCTGCAAGGCCTGTCCCCTCACCTAGGCCTGCTGTCCTTCCCACTGCTTCTGTTCAACTTTCCCTGAATTCCCAGGCTGGGTCAAGGCCCTGTGATGGAACTGCCTGAGGACTCAGCCCTCTCCCTGCCTGTCCCCCACCCCCAACCATGGGCCCGGGTCATTGCCCTGTCCTCAGCATCCAGCCCAGGGCCAGGCACAGAGCAGTTGTTCAACTGATATTTACCGAATATGTAAAACGGATCCTACAACCCTCCCTCCACAATGAATATAGGTTTCTAAATTGTAAACACAACCTCTGTGTTAGACCTCAACACCCAGAAAGGCAAAGAAACCAGGGTAGCAAAACAGATTGGTCATTATTGTACAGCTGCAAGTGGCGGGTGGCTCAGGGGCAGGGACAGGGCTGCCCAAATCTTGGGGGAAGAAGGGGCTCTCTTCCAAATGGGCTCCTGGAACTCAAGTCTCTCACCCAGGCACCTTCCTCCCCCGCCACACCCCCCCCCACTCTCCACCCCAACACATATGTGTGCTTTGGGAGCAGAGCTAGAGTGAGGAACGTGTACGCAGAGGGCGGAGGCGGGAGGTGGGGGAAGCAGGACGGTCCCAGACACAGGGGAGGATCACAAAAGTTCCCGCCCGCTGGCTGTTTTGTTGACCTTGGACAGGCCTTCCCGGAACCCAGAATCGGTCATTCTGGAGGCAAACAGCAAGGAGGTGGTCCAGGAGTTGAGGAGCGCTCGGTCCCGCCCACCCAGCACCCATCAAATCCAGCCCTGGAGTGGCCTGCCAGGCTGGGCCCCCTCCATCCCCAGAGCCCTGGCCCTGCCCACTCTGCCTGGGAAGCCGCCACACTCCCCACTGCCCTGCCCACCCCTGTGACTCAGGACTCACATCTGCTCCATCTGCATGTCCTCCTCATCCTCCTGGGGCAGCTGTAGGTAAGGGTTGTTGCCTGCAGGCTGGAACTTGTAGCCGGTAAGCACGAAGAAGGCTAGAGTGGAGCCCTCTACCAAGAGCTGGGGGGCAAGGGGAGTGGGAGTGTCAGGCATATCCCCTACCCCCCCGGCTGTAGTCTGGCCTGCGCCCCTCCCCCCCACTTGTGGTCTCAATCCTCACCTGGTACAGCCACTGCCACTGGAAGGGCACAGCCACCTGCAGCAGGATGGCGATGATCCGCGTGAAGTAGACGTAACAGATGACCTGCCGGGACAGGGGCAGAGTGTCGGGGCTCAAAGCGACGGCACAGGGAGGGCTTAGAGTGGGTACACCAATGGGCTGGTTGTACGCACCCCCCGGCAAAAAACAAAAACACCCCCAGACACTTCCCTGAGTGAGAACAGGGCTCCTACCATGATGTAGTAATGCCGAAACAGCTTCAGCTTGGCCAGGTTCACCGCCACTGACAGGTGTGCACGGGAGATTGAGGGGGTAAGGGGAGGGGGAGAGGTATGGAGGAGGGTCATTTTGGGGAGAGTCCAAGGGACAGGAAGGCTGGAGGGGGATGTTCAGGGGACAGGCAGGAAGGGGCAGCCGGTGGGGAGGAAAGGGAAGGGACATCCAGGGTCAGAAAGAGGGATCTGGAGCAGGACAGGGGCTGGGGAACAGCAGGTCCTGGGACCAGGGCCTCACCCTTTCCATCGGTGCCAGATGCGTCCTGGAGATGCCGGATGGACCTGGAACCAGACGGGGGACCCAGACAGCCGTCAGCACTACCTCCTGTCACATTTACAAGGGGCAGGGTCTCAGCCTCCGGCAGGGGTCAGCTAGGAGGGGTCAGATGTAGGATCCTCACCAGACCACAGGGAAGAGGATGGTGCCACAGCAGATGAGATCCACCAGGAAAAGGATCTCCTTCCAGAGCCTATAATCACTGGTGCCCTCCTCGCGGGACTCGATGACAATGTAGGCCACGTTGGCCAGGACCTGTGGGGGGTGGGTGGGTAGGTGTGCCCCGAGGGTGCATGCATGCCCGCCCCCCCTCCCCTACCCCCGCCTGCCACCCAGGTGCACCTGCAGTGGAATCACGATCCCAAAGATCTTCTTCTCCTTGTCTGACAGGACGTACTTGACGAAGGCCCAGCCGGAGCCGATCAAGGCGATGGTGATGAAGAGGAGAGCGCCCTTCAGCCTGGGGAGGGTGCGTGTAGTGAGGGGGACGGTGCCCAGCTCTCCCCAGCCCACTCCCCCCACCTGCCACAGAGAAGGGCACTCACAGGTGTGTGATGTAGTGCATGATAGCGAGGCCTTCGATGGGGTGGCCCTGGCTGTTGATGAAGTAGTAGTTGATCTGGAGGTGGGTGGATGGATGGATGGTCAGACAGACGGACATGTGGGTGGCCGGTGGTACAATTGGGAGGATGGCGGTGGTTTAGGGACATGGACGGTCAGGGTGGCATGGTGGGCACAAGGTTGACAGAACCGACAGTTATGATCAGGATGGCAAGTGGACCCAGAAATGGGCAGTCGTGGCCCTGACAGAGGAGGGCGACTCACAGCTGGATGGACAGACGGGGGGAGGATCAGAGCTGCGCCAGTGGACCGTCAGACTGAAGGGCAGACAGTCACAGACAGACAGGACGGACGGGCAGACATCTGAGTTGGGTGGCCAGCTGGTGGCCACTGTGATGCAATGGCTGGATATGTGGACGGGGCGGGGGGTGGTGGACAGATGAACTCCCAAGCCCGGGGTCTGCAGAGACTTGGGGAGTGGGCTGCACGGGCTTCTTCCTGGACCCAGAGACCCCAGCCCGCCCCCTTCTGCTCCCCGCAAGGCTCTCACACTGTGGAAAAGGAGGGAGATGCTCTTGGTGAAAGCGAGGGCCGCCATGAGCCAGTGGATCTTGAAGACGTTGTACCTGGCGGGGGGAGGGGGCGGGGGCATCAGTCAGGGGCGGGGAGGGCTGTGACCAGGGGAGGTGGGGGACCCCCAGGGGCCAGGGCATTACGTGTTCCTGTAGAGGACGGACACCCAGAAGACGCCGGCTGCCAGGAAGCAGGCAGACATGACCAGGTACAGCTTGAACAGGGGGATTTCCGCCGCCGACAGGAAGCCCTCCGGGTTCTTCTCCCGAATCATGACCTGGGGAGGGAGGCCGCAGCGGGGAGTGGGGGTTTCACACCCGCCCACTCCCGACCTCCCCCCAGATGGGCATATCACCAGATGGGCACGCCAGCTCTCAGGCCTGGGCGCCGCCGCCTCTGCTCACCGTGAGGTCGAACGGCTGCTCCTGGCCCGGCTCCGAGTTGTAGCAGTTGTGGAAGTTGAGGTTGTACTGGCCTTCCTCGGCCCGAGAGCCGATCACCACGTGGAACTGGGCGGCAGGGGGAGAAGGGGAGTCAGCCGGGTGGTCCCCGCTCTGGGGGGGGGGAGGGGGCCACGGGCGCGCCCCGACACTCACACTGAAGTTGTAGGAATTGTTGAGATGCCCAAGCCCCAGGACCAGTTCGCTGTCCTTCCCACTGAGGCCCTGAGGGGACAGAAGGTCCACATCAGCTGGCCCTGGGCCTGGCTCTCCGTATGTCCCCCCCGCCCCGCGACCCCCCCCTCCCCCTGCCCTGGCTTCCTCGAACCTGCTGGTCTCCCTGGGACACTGTGGGTTTTGACTGGGCCTTGCTGAGCACAGTGATGGTCCCTAGAGGGGGCAAGTGAATGACTTTAGGATGGACAACAGAAAAAATGGGAGGTAGGCCAAGCAGCCCTGGCCATCCACCCTCCCTGCTCCCACGGCCCAGCCTGACTCACCGCTGCCCACTTTAGGGGTGACTGTGAGCTCTGGTTTCGGGGGCCCTGGTTCAGAGGGCACTTCGGGGAGGAGCCCAGGAGAGATGAACAGCTTCTTCTGGTCCCCATACCTCCGCACCTGGACCCTGGGGTGAGGATGGGGGCCCCGGGGGTGAGGCCAGGAGGCTGATGGCTTAGGTCATCTGTACAACATGTGCAGAGGGACTCGATGGTCCCTTGGGCCCTCAGATCTCCTTTGCGAGGCTTGGCATCAGGCTGAATCAGTGGGCACACAGTTCCAGCACTGGCCACCACCCCTCAAGACGGCTGCCCCACCAGTGACCGTCACTTTCTGCAACGCTGACTTATTCCACGTAAGTGCGTTATTTAAAATGAAAATGCATCTATAGACAGGCTACACGGTATTGTTGGACTCTGGTTCTTGGGCCTCAGTTTTTTCTTTCAGGATGGGGGATAATGTCAGCATCAAGAGTCGACGAGTTAACACCTGTAAAAGCTCACAGGATGCTCCCTGGGACATATGACACATTCAACAAGTATGAATGATGGAGCCCCCGACCCATCAACTTACCGCAGATCCTTGGTGTTGATGAGGAAGAGGACCAGGAAGTTGCTACTGTTTTTCCGGAGAGGACAGCTGTGGGGGTTCGGGGTCTGGGGAGTGCGTAGGAGGATGTCTTGGTTACCGCCTCCCTAGCCCAGCCCCACCCTGTCCCCTCCCCATCTACCTTGCAAGGGAGGGTCACTTCTTGCTCCCCTCCCTGCGAGAAAGAACAGGGGCCCTTGGCTCCTGATGTAAAGGACAGACATCCCAGGCCCTCCTCACCCCCTCCACCATCTCCTCCTCCACTCACTGAGTAGGATCGAATGCTGCCAGATTGAACCCGAGTCAGACTGAACCCCACCTGGCAGGTGGAAAGAAAAGGGGAGGAAATGAGGGATTCCGCAGGGACCTCCCCAAGCCACCTCTTTTAGCAGCAAGAGAAACATCATCTCAAATTTACTGAACACCTACTGTGTGCTAGGTCCCACATTCACTCGTGGAATCTTCCAACAACCTGTCCTGCCCCAGGGCCCCTCATACTCTTAGCTCTTAACCATCCTGTGCCTCTCAACTTGGATGTCACTTCCTGCAGGGGCAGGTCCTCTGGACCTAGCCCACCTTGTTTTCACTCAATTAAAATGTTGATGTAATAAAGAAGTAAAAATAGATAAAATGTTGATGGCCTCCAGCCTTGACCTGTGGAATCCGGCACACGTGGGTTTGCATCCAGGCGCTGAGACTCTGAGCATGGCACATACCTCTGAGCTTGTGTGAACATCTGTAAAGTTGGGTTTACAGGTGTAACATTTGCACAGCATCCCTGAGAGGTGGCTGTGAGAGAACGGACCCATGGAAACTGCTTTGCCTGATTACCTGGTACTCAGTGGGCATTAAAAAAAAAAAAATGCTGGCTACTCGTTCTGACTGCGGGAACTGGGGATATCTTGTGCATTGGGGTGCCCTCCCTCCACCAACCCCCGCTCAGGGTTGCACATACTGCACGAGGTCTTATTATTCCCATGTTACAGATGGGGACACGGAGGCTCAGAGAGGCCAATGGATTTGCCCAAGATCCCACGGATGAGAGGCTGAACCACCTCTCATCGGCGTGGTGGTGGTGGTGGTGGGGTGGTGGTGGGGTGGTGGTGGTGATGGTGGTGGGGTGGTGGTGATGGTGGTGGGGTGGCGGTGGGGTGGCGGTGGTGATGGTGATGGTAGGAAACTTGTGCACCTCGCCCTCCTCCATCAAAGTCCTCAAAGCCCCTCACCAGCGGGGTCTCCTCTTCTGTCTCGCGGAGGCCCAGCCGCAGGAGGCTCAGGTCCACCTCCAGGGAGCCATTGGCGTAGAAGCCGAAGCTGTTCAGCGGGATCTCGGCTCGCTTCTCCCCCTGCCGGAGACCAAGGAGGCAGAGGCAGCTCAGACCTCTCCCCACCAGCCCAGCCCCACGGCTCTGGCGCGAGGTGGCAACAGGGTGGCCCCAGCTCCTCCAGCCGCTGCTCTGCGAGTCCAGGAAGGGAAAGCCCAGGGGCACCTGGAAGTCTGGGCAGTGGGTGAGCACCACCCCAAAAGCGGAGTTCTTCATCTTGGTGTGCGGAGCCCCGACCTCCCAGACAAGTGTGTAGCTTCCAAGATCCCAGCGAGTGCCCAGGGGACCCGGTTCTACAAGCCCCGGGGACTCCCCCAGGGCCCCAGCGCCCCAGGGCGATCCCGAGGATGCACACACAGGACTAAAAGTTGGGGCTCCCGGGGAGGTGAAGTCCTACCCCCTAGTGGGTGGGGCATGACCCTAGCCGGGGCGGCCCCGCGGCCCCAAGCGAGGACCGAGGGGGACTCCTCGGACGAGACCACTCGGGGCCTGGAAGCGGGGGGGGCGGCGGACCGCTCCATCCGGCGTAAGCAGAGGGGGAGGTAGGGCGAGACCACTCCGAACCAGGGGCTTCTTGGGGACAGAACTGCGCCCCCCGCCGCCGCCCGCCGCGCGGAGGGACTCACCGTCAGCGCCAGCCGGTGGATGCGCCCAGAGCAGCTGTGCAGGAGCAGCAGCAGCAGCAGCCGCTGCCCCCACTCCGCGGGGCTCCGGCGGGCGAGCCCCCTCCTCTCGCTCACTGCCATCTCTGGCGCCGCCACCTCCCCCGACGCCGCCTCTGACGCCCCCGAGTCCAGCGCGCTTAGCCAATCAGCCACCGCTTCCTCGGAAGTCCGCACCGTCCCCCTCGCACGACGCCAAATGGACATCGCCAGCTCCGAATGGGCTGCTGACGCTGCCTAACCCCGCCTCCGCCGTCCCCAATCACTAGGGAGACTGCGCTGATGTAATTGGCTCAACAGTCCACCTAACCAGTTCTGCGGGATCCGATACCCGGCCCTTGGAGCGGAATTCCTCCACCCACGCCCAACTGAAGCTCGGTCCAGGACTACATTACCCAGAATGCAGGAAGACCAGACGGCGCAACAGGGCATTCAAAAACTACATTTCCCAATATCCCTCAGGACGGACTTCCCCTCTTTACCCTGGGGAGGTGGCTCCCAGCCAGAGCCCAGGCTTTTGGTAAACACGCACGTCTGCCGAGGCCTGTCCTGTTCTAATCTTGCTGATCCAGGAAAGGCCGAAACCTAGCCCCAGGCTCAGTCTTGACCCTAGGATGACCTATGACCCTGGGCTGAATTCCAGCCTTAGGCGGAGACTCTTCTAACCCTAGAGTGAGGCAACTAGAAGCCCACCCACAGATCCCAAGCTGGAGGTGTCGTCGGGGACGGGGGGGACAGGGGGGCGGGGGCTGAACACCAACTCCGGGCTGAGTGCTTAGCTGCAACTGAGCCCGGACATCAACCTGAAATCCAGACTTCCCCACTCCCTTCCGACCCTCGACCTACTCTGAGCCTGAGCGTTAATCTCTCTGGTTGAGCCCTCCCAACCTGGACGGAGCCCTGACCCCAGACGAGGCCTGACCGCTGGACCGTAGTTTGAGGCCACGACCCCCTAGTGGGTTGCTGACCCCTCCGCTAAGCTGACCCCAGGTTGAGATCCTATTCCAACTGTGGTGCCGACTTGGAACGAATCCCAATTCCGATTTGAGTTTGAGGCCAGTGTGGAGACTCCAATACCAGGCTAAGCGGCTGAGAGCAGAACTCACGCTGAGCCCCTGACTCAGCTGGTCCCCCAAACCCTGGAGCACAGCCCACTTTGCAACAGGAGGTTTTCTAGCTCAGAAGTCACCAGCAGGTGGGGCCAGGTCCCCACAGAGCCATCTGTCCCAGGATTTCAGGCTGATGTCCCCTGGGCTCCTGGGGCTCTCCTCCTGGAAGCCCAGAGGCTTGGGGCCTAACTTGTGCCCCGGGGGCGGCTCCGGGGCGCCGCGTCTGTCACCTCCGTTGGCACTAAGGACTAAAGGCAGGAGAGGATGAGGGTGGGAGCTGCAGGGTTCTCTACCCTTTCATCTCAGTGCCTTAAGGAGATTAATGAGGTGTGAACAGGCATTTATGAGGGAAGTGACAGACTTCTGTGCCCCCAGGGCCGGAGTGTCTGGAGGGAGAGGTGGAGTCGAACCGGGGTCTGGACAGTGAAACCGGATTGGGTCTAAACGGATGCGCCTGGAAAATGGGCAGGTGGAAGCGCGAACTGGATGAGGGCCGAGGAAAGACCTGGGCCCGGTGCCCCAAGGACAGCCTGTCCTCAGTTTCCCGGCGCAGACTTCGGGAGGAGGGAGAAGGCAGGATGCGGTGGGGGTGCTAATGGACCGGGCCTTGGCGGAGGCACGCGTTCTGGGCAGGATCGAAGTCCTCCCATCCGCCCTGTGGCCGGAGGGAACCAGACCATTAGTGGGCCGAGCATAGATGTCTGGAGCCGGGCCGGCCCGCAAGAGCGGGGTGACCTCAGGTTCTCCCAGCGACGGCGGGCGGGGGGGGGGCGGGGGGGCGATGCGGGAAGGGGTGGCTGGTGGTGGGGGAAAGACCTCTCGGGTTGGGGTTTTAATGTCTTGGCCCTTTAAGGAATGGTTGAAGGAAAGAGAAAACAACAGTCTCAGGCGACTTAGGGGTGGGGAGGATAAGAGGGGTCCGGGGGATTTGGGAAATGGATGGGGGTCCTTTAAGGGGTCGGTCCAGTGGCGTCTAGTGGCAACTTTCCTTTAAGAGGGGGCGGGGCGTCCTTTGGGCCCCACCTCCTCGGGGGTCCCGCCTTTAGGGCGCTGTTCGGGCCTCCGCGCAGACGGGGGCGTGGCAGGGCCTGCGGGGGCGGGGCCGAGCCTGGAGGGGGCGGGGCCTGGCGGGCTGGGCCGGGCGCGCCGCTCCAGGCTGAGTCTCCGGGCGGCGGGCGGCGGGCGGCGGGCGGCGGGCGGCGGGGACCGGGCGCGGCGGCGGCGGCGGCGGCGGCGGCGGCGGCGGCGGCGGCTTCGGCGGGAGCAGCATGGATTGGGGCACCGAGCTGTGGGTGAGTCCGATCGGCCCGGCTTCCAAGTTTCTCCTTTTCTGGAGTTCAGATCCCGGCTCCTCCTTGCTCCTGCACGACCTTAGCGGGGGCTCGGCGCTTTCCCCTTCGGAGACCCCCGGAGTCCCCGCTTTCCGCCCTCCCTCGGAGTTTCCCAGGGCGCTTCAGGACGCCCGGGGCGAAGGGCGACCTTGCAGCCGCGGAGTCGGGAAACTGGGCGCGGGGTTCCGAGTGAGGAGGGCAGGAGTCCTGGGACCAGGCCGGGGCGGCCGGGCGAGGTCACCTATTTTGAGCACCCTGGCTGGGCCGGCGGCTTATCTTACGGCCCCTGGGTCCCTGCCCGCAGCCCGCCTGTCCGGCTTGGGCGGGGGAGGGGCCCCTGTGGCCACTTCCAAGCCCACGTGGGACCTGGAAGTTCCGACCGCCTTTCGGAGGCTCCAATCAACACCTTGGGGCTTGGGTCGCGCTAGGGGGGAGGGGGCTGCGAGGCTTGGCCACCTCGCAGCCCCCTCCCCCATCCCGCCCCAGGCACTGGGAGGGGCCGCCCCCAGGCTGCTTCTGACCTCTGCTCTGGAAGCCCCAGAAATTTCCCCTTATCCTAGCCCGGACCTCTGACCCCTCCTTTTTATGGGGGCGGTGGCATCCCTGGGTTCCTGGATGCAGAGGGGGTAGCGAGATTCCTTCCCCCACAACTCTGGAATTTCTTTCGGAGGTGCAGTGGGGTCAGTGGGGGAAACGGAGTCACGTGTGTGCGGGGGACCCCGGGAAGCATGGCGACCCGGGGAACATGGTGCCTGGCCCCTGGACATTCTGGGGCCCCCCGAGCTGCGGCGAATCCTGCCCCTCTGGTCCTGACTCACGCCGGGCCGGCCGGATTTTCCGGAATCTTGGGAGGGGGGATTAGGGGAGCCGGGGCAGGGGGGAGTGGCCCTGCCCCATTCCACACCCCTCTTGGCGGTCTGGAGGCCGGGACCCCGTAGTCCGGCCGGGGCCCCGCCCCTGTTCCCTGGCCCTTCCCGGGAAGGGGAGGGGGTTCCCGCCGGTTTCCTGCCTCCCCCCGCGCCGCGCCGGGGCGGGGCCGGGAAGCCACACCTTCTCCTAGCTCAGAGCCCTGAGGCTTCTCAGGCGCCTGGTCCGCGGGCGGTGGGGTCCCAACGTCATGATCCCGAATCCTCCGCCCGCTTCCAGGATCAGTTTGAGGTGCTCGAGCGTCACACGCAGTGGGGCCTGGACCTGTTGGACAGATATGTGAAATTCGTGAAAGAGCGGACCGAGGTGGAGCAGGCTTATGCAAAGCAACTGAGGTGAGACCCTAGGGGGGACCCGCCTGGGGCTTGGGGAAGCTGTTGGAGGGCTGGGGGCTCAGCCTTTCTGCCTCTCTCCATTAGGAGCCTGGTGAAAAAATACCTGCCCAAGAGACCTGCCAAGGATGACCCAGAATCCAAGTAAGGATGGAGAGGAATTGCCAGGCTAGATTTGGGGGCGCCTGGGGAGCGTGTGTGTTGGTCTTACTTCCTCTCCCCCAGCTAGGCGGTAAGACCCTCACCTTTTGCTTCATTTCCCACCTAGAGGAATGAGCATGGATGGAGAACCTGGATCACCTGTGCTGGAATCGAAATCCCGTTATTTTCCAGCCCTACGACTCTGGGCAATTGACTTGAGTTTTCCATTTGCCTCTCCTATTGAGCGGGGCTCCAGCACTCACTCAACAAGTGACTCTGGGTCATTGATTTATGTTTTGTGCCTGTTTTCCTCACCTGTGAAACGGGATGATGATGATGATCTTGTAGGGCTCATGCAGAGAATAACAGATCTTGCACTGAAGCAGTGCCCAGCCCATAGTTAGTCCAGCATAGGAGCATTTCGCTTTTTGCCACATCCCCAGTTCCAGAATCCAAAGAGCTCTAAAAGTGAAAAAATTGTTTTGGTAGCTTGTGTGGCAGCAGCCTCTGACCTGACTTCACGTTCATCACGTCCTTGGTTTTTATTCTTCTTACTGTGAATAGTAATACCTCTCGCTGCAAAAATATTTATGGTGTTCGATTCAGGATGCTGCCCCTGACCCCACTGGGGTGCTGCATAAAAGATGGTATAAGCATTATATCCCCTTTCTGAACCTGAAAAGTTCTGAGTTCCAAAATGCATCCCACTGAAGGGTTTGGGGTAAGGGATATGGACCAGAGTTTATGGTTGCTTCCAGGAGGAATGTGTTGGGGCTTTCCCGTTCCCATATGGAGGTGGGTCCTAGGGCATCTGGCTACCCTGGGTGGCGGGGGTGGCCTCCTGACCCTGGCTTGCTGCTCCTGCCCATCTTACCCTAGGTTCAGCCAGCAGCAGTCCTTTGTGCAGATTCTCCAGGAGGTGAATGACTTTGCGGGCCAGCGCGAGCTGGTGGCTGAGAACCTCAGCGTCCGTGTGTGTCTCGAGCTGGCCAAGTACTCACAGGAGATGAAACAGGAGAGAAAGATGGTGAGTGATCCCCTCTCTGGGTCTTGAGGACTGCTACCTCGACCCAGGTGAGCCTAACCATCTCTGTTTTGCACAGCACTTTCAGGAAGGTCGTCGGGCTCAGCAGCAGCTGGAAAGTGGCTTCAAACAGCTGGAGAATGTGAGTCTGGGGGCGTGGAGAAGGGTGCCTCTGGCCCTAAGGAGCCGGCTGAGGGTTGCTGATCCGTGGAACTGCCTGCATTGTCTGGCCTGGGGCCCCTCTGTCCCATGGGTTCCCAGCATGCCCGTTGCCCTGCATTTGCTGGGTGATGTCCCACCAGTCTCTGAAACCTTGATTTCTCACCTACTTCCTCCTTCTGGTTCTGTCCCCGGCAGAGTAAGCGCAAGTTTGAACGGGACTGCCGGGAGGCTGAAAAGGCAGCCCAGACTGCTGAGCGACTCGATCAGGATATTAATGCCACCAAGGCTGATGTGGAGAAGGTACCTGTGGGGTCTGGGATGGGTTTGGAGGTCTGGTTGGGGGGGTGGGGGGGTGCAGAACCTGGCCGTGACCCCTGCCTCGATATTCCTCAGGCCAAGCAACAAGCCCACCTTCGAAGTCACATGGCAGAGGAGAGCAAAAATGAGTACGCAGCCCAGCTCCAGCGCTTCAACCGAGACCAGGCCCACTTCTATTTTTCCCAGATGCCCCAGATTTTTGATGTGAGTGTTCTAAGCCCCCAGCCTACCCTCCTGAAAAACACACAGTTACCCGACTCTTACACATTTGCCAAACCTTAGCTGCAATGTCCCGATCTCTAAATTGAAAGGGAATTAAAAACAGCAGTGAGCTCTAACTCTTTCTGCCAGGATGTCTTTCTTTTTTTCTGAAACTCCTATTCATTCTTCTAAGCCCCACCTCTAACAGTCCCTCTGAAAAGCCTCAAATTTCCTGTCTTCTGCTTTAGTCTCTTGCTCTACTCCACCTGGGACTGGTAATATCTATGTTGGGTGTGCTCTCGGTGGGTTCAAAGCCCTGGCTTCGTGGTCACCTCCTTTGAGAATCCTTTCCTGACTCCCTAGGCGAGGCTGGTGCTCCTCAAACTCCTCTCTCAGATCTCCCCTGTCCCATGTGTCTCCTCTGGCCACCCTGGGCTGGAAGTCTCTATTCGATTTTGTGTATTCTCCACAAGACTGGGCTTGGGGCTGGGGCCAGTGTGGCACCCCATCGTGTTTGCGGATTGAATCGCTGCTGCTGGTCCCATTAGCGCCCCTGCCTCTGTCTCTGCAGAAGCTGCAGGACATGGATGAGCGACGGGCCACCCACCTGGGGGCCGGGTATGGGCTCCTGTCCGAGGCCGAGCTGCAGGTGGTGCCCATCATCGCCAAGTGTCTGGAGGGCATGAAGGTGGCCGCAGATGCTGTAGATGCCAAGAACGTGTGTATCTGGTCCTGGGCGAGTGGGCTCACAGGTGGGAAGTTGGAGGACCCCAGAGGCTAGGCATCTGGTCTTGCCCCTGACTTCTTGTCCCTACTCCCTCCTGCAGGACTCCCAGGTCCTGATCGAGCTGCACAAGTCAGGCTTTGCCCGCCCTGGTGACGTGGAATTTGAAGACTTCAGCCAGCCCATGAACCGCGTGCCCTCAGACAGCAGCCTGGGCACCCCCTCCGATGGACGGCCTGAGCTCCGAGGCCCGGGCCGCAGCCGTGCCAAGCGCTGGCCCTTCGGCAAGAAGAACAAGGTGGGGGCCGGGGCCCTTGGGAAGGGGAGTGTGAGTGGGGACAGGGGGGCCCCCACTGAGTCAGCCCCAGCCGCTGGGACGCTGAGTCCCGGGCAGGAATTTGCCTCTTGGCTGCTGGCCCAGGCTGGAGGGAAGGGAGGCGGCTGGGTGATCGGCCTGGGAGTCCCCCAAGGCTGAGGGGGGGGTGCAGGGAGGGGGCCCGCGGCGTCTGTCTGCTGCTTCTCGGGATGCTGGGAGAAGACCTGCTTCTGGGATTCAGGGCTGGATGAGGGCTTGAGGGACTTGTCCTAGGGACTCCCCTTGAGTCTCTCTCCATCCTGCCAGTGGGTCCTTGGGCCCCTGACCCTCAGGCTGTTTTTTCTTGGGATTTTTGGCTTGTAATGTCAAGCACATACCTGTTTTATACCTTAGACCCTCACCCCCAACCCTTAGTTTATTTCTCATGAACCCTGTTATATATTCTTGATCCCTCTTGACATATAATTTGATACCCCCCTCAGTTTGTACAACAGACTCCCCCAGCTTAAACCCCACCTGTAACCTTTCTGATACTTCATGCCTTCTACCTTTCTCTTAGCTTGCCTTTGACCTCTGTAGCCATGTACCCATCTGAGACCTTGATTCCCGCATGCATCTCCCTGTATTTTCTAGACTGTGAGCTCAGAAAGCTGGGTGGACAGAACCCGGGGCCTCCCTGCCCCTGCTCCCCTCCAGCCCCATGCTAGGTACTGGACATAGAATTCAAGGAAGGGATAACATAAGGGGGTAGGGAGGGGTCTGGCCTTCCGGCTCACAGTCTAATGCCCTCCCCACCACCTCCCAGATTTTTGTGTTGCTCTTTGCATGCATTTTCTGTGTGTGATTGTGCATCTTGAGTTGTGGTTTTCTTACCGTTTTTTTTCTTTTCTTTTCTCCATTTTGTTTTTTCTTTTTTCTTTATTATGTCCGTCCGTCCATCCATCCTCGTTCTCTACATCCTCCAACCCCTTGTGACCCACCCCCTCCCCTGCCCCCGCCGGTAGCCACGCCCCCCACCCCTCTCCCCCCTGGGGGGCCCCCTGCCCTCGGCATTGCCTAACGGACCCCCATCCCCTCGCTCCGGCCTCGACCCCTTGGCCATACTGAGTGAGATCAGTAAGTCGGTCAAACCGCGGCTAGCATCCTTCCGCAGCCTTCGAGGCAGCCGTGGGGTAAGTGAGGCCTCCAGGGGAGTAGGAGGGGGCGGCCCCAGCCCACCCAGTGGCTGGGTGGTGGTACCCTGGGCTCGCTTCCTGCAGCCGGCTGGGCCCCCCTCCTCCGGTTGCCAGACCTGGACCTGCTTTGCTCTGTGCATGGCCTTGCCCCCAAAGAACCTTGGGTGGGGAGGAAGGTGGACTTGGTATGTCATAGCAGTGTCTTAGAGCATAGAAGCTGAGAATCCCCAATCCCCCCGAACTCAGTCCTCTTGCCACCTTGCAGACAGTGGTGACGGAGGATTTCAGCCACTTGCCCCCAGAGCAGCAGAGGAAGCGACTTCAGCAGCACCTGGAAGAACGGAATCGTGAGCTGCAGAAGGAGGTCGACCAAAGGTAAGGTTTGGGGTAGGTAGGCAAGGAACAAAATAAAATAATAAATGAACTGTACTGAAATGGTACTCCAGACTCTCTCTAACACGCCCCAAGGCCCAAGCCCCAGTGGTTTTATAGGTGATTTCTACCACACTTAAAAGGAAACAATTCATTCCAGCAAACAAAAAAAAGAGTGAAAAGGTGTCAGCTCATTTAGGAGGCTGGTGGAATCAATTCCCCTATCATTTAGCAAGAATTCAAGAAATTCAAATTCTGGACTCATTTTATTTCACTTAGGATCTTAGATGGAGAATCCTAGCCAGACAAATCCAATGATATATTTTAAAAATAATATTGCGCGTGGTGGAGATGGTCGCACAACAGTGTGGATATACTTAATGGCCGTGGAATCGTACACTTAAAAATGGTTCGAGTGGGGCCTTTCTTGTGTTATGTGTATTTTACCATAAGAAAAACATAGTATTTTTTGAAGACAAGTCATGATCAATGGGGTGTTATCCCAGTAATGCAAAGATGGTTCAATGTAAAGACATCTATTATTCTTTTACTACAGTAATTGGCTAAAAAAAAAAAGAAAAAATCATGGTTATCTACTAACTCTTAAAACATCAACAATAAAAAAACCTGCCAGATTAAAAAAGGAAAAGCTGTACTCACTCCTTCCAAGCAACGAGATCGTCTTCCCAGTCCTCTTACATAATGGGAATGACGCTGGCCACTTGTGGACGGGCAGCCAAGTTATATTTTGCCATTGCATTGAACCTCTTGTACGAAACTTTGATTGGTGTAAAGTTCCACTTGGAACTTTGTAGTTACGGAGTCTTTATGACGTAGGGGCGAAGGGGGATCCTTTGGAGTCAAGACTGGCCTTGAATTCTAGTTGTTGCACCTCACTGTGTTTGTTTCCTCATCTGTGGCACGGATCTGGTATTAGGACTGGAGAGAAGTTGAACCCAGGTTGGACAAATGCCAAGGTCTACGCCTGTTACTGCTACTGCCTATATAGGCTTGGAGGAAACAGGGACCAGGGACTAATGATAGTACTGAGCATTTATAGAGTGCTTACTGTATGCCATACACTATTTGAGATCCTTTACATAGATTCACTGACTTCCCCAAATTCTGAGACTTCATGAGCTGGGGCCGAATCCTGATTTTCTTGTTTAGGGCTATATTTCTGATGCCTGGAACAGTGCCTGGTATGCAGTAGGTAGTCAATATGTATCTGAATAAAAAAAGGCACTGTTCTAATCTTTGCAACCACTCACATGAGTGGGGATAATGATGCATTATCCCCATTTTCCAGATTTGCATACTGAGACAGAGGTTCAGTAACTTACCCCAGGCTCACAGGCAAGGAAATGCCCAAGGATTTGAACCCAGGTGGTGAAGCACTAGTGTTTGAGATTTACCAACTGTCTTCTCTCGCTATTGGCTCCTTGAAGCAAAGCGTGTATTTTTTTTGCTTGTTAGATCATATGGGACTGTTCCTTCTAATCTGTCTGTGTCATCCTAGAGAAGCCCTGAAGAAAATGAAGGATGTCTATGAGAAGACACCCCAGATGGGGGACCCTGCCAGCTTGGAGCCCCGGATCACAGAAACCCTGAACAACATTGAACGGCTGAAATTGGAAGTGCAGAAGTATGAGGTCAGGGAAGACCCTGGGGAGGGGTGGGGGCCAGCGGGCCTGGCTGAGTCACTTCCTGGGGGGGTGGGGGCAGGGAGGTGTTGGTGTGGTGGTGCTCCAGCTGTTTCTCATCACAGCCTTGGGTGTGCATGGGTAAGCTCAGGAAACCTCCAGGCCCAGAAGGGGCTGACCCCAGAATCCTGCCCTGGAATTGACTGTGTGTCTCCCTCCTCTTAGGCTTGGCTGGCGGAAGCTGAGAGCCGGGTCCTGAGCAACCGGGGGAACAGCCTGGGCCGCCACACCCGGCCTCCAGACCCCCCAGCCAGCGCCCCACCAGACAGCAGCAGCAGCAACAGTGGGTCACAGGATAACAAGGAGAGGTGAGTGTGGATGCCAGAGAGGGTCTGTCCCCAGGACCCAGGAGGCCTGTCCTTACCTGCTTTGCTCTCCCCAATCAGCTCTGAAGAGCCCCTCTCAGAGGAGGGTCAGGATGCCCCCATCTACACAGAATTTGATGAGGATTTTGAGGAGGAACCGGCATCCCCCATAGGTCACTGTGTGGCCATCTACCACTTTGAAGGTGAGGACAGCTTGTAGGTCCCATCAGCTGCTCAGGGGAGGGCGCTCTTTTGGGCTAGGTTGAGTTTAAACTCACCCGAAGCAGATCTGAGCCCACTGCCCATCCCGTGACAGGGTCCAGCGAGGGCACCATCTCCATGGCCGAGGGTGAAGACCTCAGTCTCATGGAAGAGGACAAAGGCGACGGCTGGACCCGGGTCAGGCGGAAACAGGGAGGTGAGGGCTACGTGCCCACCTCCTATCTCCGTGTCACGCTCAACTGAACCCTGCCACAGGCGGGAAGAAGGGGGCTGTTGGCTGCTGCTTCTGGGCCACGGGGGGCCCCAGGACCTACGCACTTTATTTCTGCCCCCGTGGCTTCAGCTGAGACCTGTGTAACCTGCTGCCCCCCATCCCACTCCTCATCCCAAATGGACCCGCTGTGCCTTCCACCATTGATGTACATACTCGTGTTTCAGATCTTTTCTTCCTGCCGCTGGGCTAGGGCCATTTTGTTTTATATAAAAAATTCTATAAAGCTTTTAGAGTCCACGCGTGATTAGATTCACCTACTGGGGCTGGATATGCAAATGCCACCCTCCTTCCTGGCCACAGAGGGAATGAAGAAGGAGAACTTGAGGTTAACTTGGGCCCACCTGGGACAAAACCTCCCTGGAGTTTGGTGCTTGTCTGTGATTGCGACATAAGGAGAAAAGCCCCGAACATCCTTTCTGTGTTTACTGCAGCTTTACTGAGAAAAGGTACTGTTGAGCACCTGTGTGCTAGGCATTCTCCACCCGACATTTGAACACTGAACTTTAAGCCCCCATGACAACCGGTAGAAAGTACAACAGCTTTGCTCATACAACCTGGTGGGGTTTTATGTCGAAGGCACAGAGAGGTTGAGCCATTGGCTGGAAGTCACAGAGCTCTTAAAAAGCATTTGAACTCTGGCTTCTGAGTAAGGGATGTGCAGGTTCTCTTACCCTTGAAAGCCTCATGTTCTGCATTTGTGGGTTATGTGTGTGGGGGTGGGAGGTGGGATGGGGCCTCCAGACACCCTAGGATCCATGTACATTTTGGGGGAGCTGTATGGGTTTTTGTAAATCTGCACTCCCTTCTGTGAGGCAGAATGGGTTCCCACTGCTTTGGCTACATGAACGGCTTGGGGCAAGGTCTCTGGTAGCCCCTGAGGTTCCCCAAAGTCTGGGTGTCCCAGCTTGAAGAAGGGGGTGTGTGCTTTCAAACGTCTGGCTCCAGGCGCTGCGAAAGGGCACTGAGGACTCTTTGGAACTTCTCGAGACGGGTGGCATGTGGCGCCCCCACGCCTTGGCTTCCCCAGAGGAGCCTCTGCACGAAGCCTGTGGTCAGGGCCTCCCTCAGCTGCGGGTTCGGCTGGAATCCTGGGGGCGGGGCCAGGTGGGTCGGGGGCGGGGCCAGGCTCCCGCCTGGGCCCCATCCTCTACCTGCCTCCTCCCCTCAGAACTTTGTCCCCACAGGGCCCTGGAGGACTCTGCCCCGAAGCTCTGGACAACTGGGCGGGATCGGAGGGGAGGGCGCTCTCTGGGGCTCTGCAGGACTGGGGCGGGGTGGCCAGGAGCTCGGTGGAAGCATGCTATGCCAGGGTGCGTGGGGGCAGTCTGTTCCAGGTGCCTGATGGCTGAGGGGTCCCCTTAGGGGTTGTGCCTGGGGATGGAACCACCTGGGGGGGGGGAAGATTTGGAGTCTGGGCAGCCCAGCGCGACACATTTTGGGGGACGCTGAGCCATGTTTTAGAGAGAGCAGTGCCTGGGTAGCTGGTGAGAGCGGAATAAGCCAGGTCGGGGGTTCTGGAGGCTGGGCTGACCCAGCACGGAGGAGGTTTGGCTCTCACCGCAAGGAGGGGGCTGTCCTCCCAGGATGAAGGACTGACTCATTTTGGAGACAGCTAGACGTTGTCAGAGGGATCGAGGTCCTCTGGGGGCAGGGCCGCTTCAGGTGGGAGCGGGGAAGTGGGAATTTGTGGACGTGGCTCCGGGGCCGGGGGCCAACCCTTTGGGGTGGAGAGCGCTAGTGCTGTCAAGGCTGTTGGCTGCGACTCGGACTTGGGGTGAGATCTCCCCGGGGGCCGGGCCGTCCCAGTCTGGGTGGAACTCTGGGAGGCGTGGCCAGAGGCTCCGGTCCCTGGCCTGGTGGGTTTTCGGGTACCGGGTTAGAGCATGCGGAGGGGTGGGGGGCTCGGGAAGTCGGGACCCGCTGGCAGCCGGGAGCAGAGGGAGCACTCACCTCGCAGGCGCCGGGCCGCTGCCTCACGGAACTGGGGCGCGTCCCGGGCCACCAGACGCGCCCGGTGCAGGGTGCGCAGCAGCCGCTCGCAGCTCTCGTCTAGCGGCCCCGGGAGTTCCTGGCCTTCCAGCAGGCGCACCGCGGGCACTACGTGCGGCAGCGCCACCTCGCCCGGGGCGCAGGGTCCTGTGCGGGCGAGGGCTCTGAGCTAGGCTCGGGCAGAAGATGGGACCCGGGTGAAGAGGGTGGGAGACTGGGCGGAGGCGGACCCTGGGAAAGGAGCCCAGAAACCCACGTTCCAGCCTAGCACAAGGCGGGACAGGGGCGGGGGCGGAGCCTAGGACAGGCGGGGGCGGAGCCTAGGCTTGGGGCCGGGTAGCCAGGCGCGAAGGGCGGGGCGTAGAGCGAAGTGGGTGGAGCCTAGGGCGGGCCTAGGGCGGGCCTAGGGCTGGGTTAGGATTCTGGTTAGACGTGGGTGCGCAGCTCCAAGCGATGCCACTCACCAGCGCCCTCGTCCAGCGCCCGCATCAGCGGCTTCAGCTCCTGCTCGAAGGCCAGCGCGGCCTGTGTGTGGCTCCTCCTGAGCTGGCGCCACGTGCGTTCCAGCCGGGACACCTGGGGGAGGAGCCCTGAACATGCTTCCTCTTCCCTCTTCCCCACGCCCCGCACTCAGGCTTCCTCCTCATTTCTGCTCCCCACGCACCTGGGGCATGAGCAGGGCGCCCATGACCGCAGCCAGTCCAGGCAGGTCCCCTGCCGCCCCGGGCCGCAGCGCCAGCGCCAGCTCCACCAGGCCCCGCAGGGTGGCCGCGCGCTCCTCCAGCGGCCCCGAGCAGCCCAGCACGGCCAGCGCCCCGGCCAGCGCCAGCGCCTCGTGTCTGCGGAGGTAGAGAGCAAGGGCCTGGGGGCAGTGGGAGCTTTGTAACTTGGAGGTGAGAGATGTGTGTGTGTGTGTGTGGGGGGGGGTAGCTTTGCCCATCTCCCCTCCTCCTTAGGGGTCCGTGAATGGGGGGAGGTTTGAGGATTCCAGGTGGCCGGCTCACCTCTCCAGAAGCTCCAACCTCAAGCGATGCCCATGGGGAAGTGTGAGCAGCTCCAGGCCAGAGGTGACCCCCATGGCGCCCCGCTGAACCTTGGTCACTCCTAGGAGGCCTGTAGCCTGGGCAGGAGGGTTAGTGGGGAGGTCAACTGGAAAGAATGAGTATATGCGTGAGGTGCCTTGGCCTGGCTTCAGCCCCTGTTTGGGGAGGAGTGACCCACCTGGCAGTCCACCAATAATAGGTGGAGGGCTGTGCTCCCAGGATGGTGCTCCAGGAAGAGGTCACGGAGAGTACTCAGGACTTTAGGTTCCAGGGGCCGATTCTGGGGGCCCAGCAGGCAGAAGAGGTTGTTAGGGGGGCAGAAAAAGACCTCAGCCTTTGGTCTTGCAAAGCTTCTGTCCTCTTCCTCCTCTTCCTCATTGGCTTCCCACCATGAGGCCTCTGTCTCTGGGCCACTGTGGCCAGTGGGTGTTTCTTGGGCACTGGGCACTCGGGGTACCAGCTCACAGTATGTTGGGGGGCGTCCAGATTCATCATGCAGCACCAGTGAGGGTGTTCGAGGTGGTTTGTTTGGTGCCTTGGCATGAAGCTGCCCATCGGAGGCCCTGAGGCCATCAACAACAGACCCCAGAGAAGCTGGCGTCTTCAGCAACACCGGGTCACTACCCATCCGAGGGAGGGCACATGTGGGCACAGGTGAGGCTCCTGGGGGTCAAACAAGAGGAGTGAAGGGGGTAGACACAAAAGATAGATGGATGGGATGGGTGGGGGGCTTCATGGGCTACCGTCCTCCCAGTCATCTAGTCAATGACTGGGTATTTTGGTGTGGTTTTGAACCTAAAGGCTTCATTGATACAAATGCTACACACTTATCAATGGTTTTAAAATGAACTTTTGTTAACACTTCTGTATGTAGTCTGAATGCTACAATTTAAATCTGAATTCCTTGTGTTTGCCCCCCTGAAGGTGGTAAGCACTGACTACAAAACTAACACAGAAAAAAAGTATTCAAAAAAAAAAAAAAAAAGAAAAAAGTATTCAAAATACAAAACTACAAAAGCATCCAAGAAACTGAATTCATCAAACTCTCAAATGATATCTTTTGTTAAGTTTGTGGCCTATTTACTCCTGTGGTTATTAGAACTTAAAGCTGCACCCAGGCTTCTGGAAGACTCTGTATTTACCAAGCCTATAAAATAGACCTTCTTATAGAGACTTAAAACTTTCCCATGGTTCTAGATACTCTGGGTAAAGGCCAAAATCTTCACAGTAGCCACAAAAAAAAAAAAAAAAAAAAAAAAAAAAAAAAAAAAAAGCCCCTGAAATCTGAGCCCCAGATGGTTCAGCCACACTCACATCCTTTTGGTTGATGAACAGCTGAAGTTCTTGTTTTGGCCCTAGGACCTTTGCCACCCCCCAGACACTCACATCATTTCCTTCTTCCCCTCTTTCAAATCTTTCTCCACGTGACTACTGACTACTACTTCAAATTATAATTCTCTCATTCCCCCTATTCCAGTCTCCCTGACTCTGTTCTGCTTTTAAATTTTACTTCCAAGCCAACTCAATTATCGATGTCCATCTTCCTCCAGTAGGATGTTGGCACCACCAGAGACCTTTATTTTTCTTGTTGAGTGATGTATCTCTGCACTTCATACAGCGGCTGGCATGCAGTGAGGGTTCATGATGAATGAGGGGAGGCAGGGCAGATGGGGCAGAGAGGGCACAAGGAGAATCTTCCTTTAAGTAGGATGGCCAGGGTCAGCTACTTTGAGGAACTCGAGTTAAATGAGAAGAAGTCAGTCAGGAAAAGATTAGGGGAATGGGCTTTCCCATGGCTAGAAGAACAGGTGCAAAGACCCAGAGGCAGGCACGAGACTGTGTGGCTGGAGTTATTTGAGAGGTCAGCTGTGATCAGAACACATAGAACTTCTGGAAATAATCATAAACCCTCCATTTTTAAGCCCCTACAGAGCTTCTGTGTATTTCTTAATCACCAGGACAGTTTTGAAAGCTGATTGAGCCCATTTTCCAAGAGGTTAATTCACCTGTGCCTCACCAGTCAGGCAGTGAGCGGCAGAGCAACCTCTGGACCATGTGCTGTCCTGGTAGACCCTTACCTGGTCCTGAGTGGTCTTCTCCTGACAGCCCCATGTGCTCCAAACCTGCGGGCTGACTGTCACTCCGCTTCCTAGCCCTGGGGGAAGAGATGAGGGAGATGTGTAGTCCCACCCTGAGCAGGGCAGCCCCCACCGATGCCCAGAAAACCCTTTATCTAGTCACTCAGGAGCACTGGCCCCAATCAGGGTGCTCTACCCCCCAGGGGACAACTAACAGCATCAGAAGACATCTTTGGGTTGTGACAGCCAGGGGGTGGAGGGGAGAGGATTCTACAGGCACCTAGTAGCTAGAGACGAGGGGTGCTGCTCAACATCCTATGATGCACAGGAGAGCCCCCCACAATCAATCCAGCCCCAAATGTCAGTAACAGTTACTGCACAGGTGGAGAAACTCTAGGGGTATCAGGTGTCACCAGAGGTGGAGTCTGTGATTACCTGTGCAGCTCTATCCGAGCTGGGCTCTCTAGGAGGGTGTCCTCACTAAAGCTGCGTCGAATAGGTCCTTGTCGTATCACGGGCCTGGAGGCCACAGCCCCTGTGGCTTGGGACAGTGGACGCTGCCCAGTCACATAGCTGAGAACTAGGGAGGGCAGGCTTGGGAAACGTTCATCTTCCAGCTGAAAGAGGGCCGTGGGCCGGCCTGGACGGGGACGGAGGGCCACACGGAGCACCTCGAAGTGTAAGGCTGAGCCCTGCCAGCGGCAGGAGATCACTGGGTGGCCCCCACGGGATCTGGAGGCACGAACCAAGAAGTCCCCATCTTGCTGCAGGAGGGCCTCAGCCTTCTGGGGATGGAGGGCAGGGGGTAGAGGAGTTAGCCATGAGCCCAGATGAGCCATTCATAGTGATTCCTTACCTCCATCCCCCCACCCAAAAAAAGCCACCCCAGAGACTGGGTGGTTTTGCACCAAACCATTTCCCATTTTCTCGTGGGCACACTTCTGGAGTACATTTCTCAGGCTCCCCTGCAGTTAGACATCATCTGACACGATCTGGCCAAAGGAGGAGGGCAGAAGTGCTGCCCGGAATGTCCAGACCCGGCACAGTCCTACAGCTTCTGTCCCCTATCTGTCAGGGGATGTTCCCAAAGTGCTAGTGGAAGGCAGAGCCACAAGATAGAGCTCGGGTCCTGATTTATTTCTGGAGCTCCACCTTCCCCACTCCTCAACCACCTTGTACTATAACATGAACGAGCCCATAAACATTTGTTGTGTTTGGCTGGTGACACCTTGGGGATGTTTGTTAGAGCTGCTAGCTGACACTGACTGATGCAACATCCACACTGAGTAAATGCGCTAAGCTTTGTGGCTTCATAAAGGACCATTCGCTGGATCCTTCCAAACTGACTGTGGCCTGGAAATCCTCCTTTATAAACATTTTCAAGCAGTCTTATGCCAGCCATGGTGGCTGGTGTCAAAACGGGCTGGGGGCCACAACACCAGAGGGAGACAAAGCAGAGTTGGTGATGGGGGCTGGGGAGTGAACCATACATATGGTGGACACACATATAGCCTTTACTACGTGCCAGGCCCTGCTGTAGGTATAAAACATATGAACTCATTTAATCCTTTACCAAGGTTAGGCAGCAGATACCATTATCCCCATTTTATGAGTGGGGAAACTGAGGCCCAGATAGGTCAAATACCTTGCCCAAGGTCACACAGAATGTAAGTTGTAGGGCTGGGATTTGAATCCAGGGTGTCTGGCTCCAGGGTTTGGGATTTTACCCACTAAGCAATATTGACTCTCACAATTTGATTGGATGCTCAGGGTCCCAGGACTCCTGAGGGTGACAAATGAGTTGCAGAGGAGGGTGGGGAGATTTGGGTTGAGAGGGAGATGCCAAGAGTTCTCAACACTGATTGAGCCCTTATTGTGTGCCAGGGCCTAACTAGACCCTGGAGACACAGTGATGAATGAGACCAAGGCTCTGTCCGGCGCCGTCTGATGGGCAAGACACAACAAACACACATGAATGAAGAAGATAATGTCTAAGAGTAATCACTGAAGGTGATAAAAGAGGGATATGGGCACCCTGGTGGCCACAGGTGCCTAGGACCCAGATGGAGAGACAAGCAAAGCCAAGGAGTCGGGTTGGGGAACAAGCCATGGTACCAACCAAGCTTCAAGACAGTCCCGAGACCCTCAGCCACCCCATCCAAAAGACCTTGACTATAAGTCCCCCATCCTGGACCCAGAAGTTCCCAGCAGGTCAAGGGCAGGAGAGGCTCCCCATCAGATGGTGCTGAGGCCCTGTAGGAAGCAGAGATACCTGACGGGATAGGGGGCCGTGGTACCACGGCTGGCTGGCAAAGTCCTCTCCATCCTGTGGCACCTGCATGGAGCTCTTGGGGGCAGAGGGTGCAGGGGCTGAACTCTGTACTTTCAACAGTCCTCAGTCTTCCACATCTGTAAAATGGGAATAGTTATTGCTGCTTCCTAAGCTTCCTGAGTGGCTGGGTCAGCCCTTCCACATTCCTCTTAGTTTTGGAGACTGCAGCCCACATCCTATCAAACCTTAAAATGCCAACTCTCTCTCTCTCTATATATATATATATATTCTAACATGTAACATATAACCATATTCTAAATTAAACAAATTACTTATATTAAAAAATACACACTAGATTTTGTTTATATATGTATATGTATATATATGTTCTAGATTCATACTATACATACTATAAAATTTAAACTTTAATTTAGATTGGCTGTGACCTCATGGAAACACTCATGCATTCACTGGGATCCTTGCAAAGGGAGAAGACCTAGGCACTGCTTTCATTTTTTTTTAAAGATTTATTTATTTATTCATTCAGAGAGAGAGAGGCAGAAACACAGGCAGAGGGAGAAGCAGGCTCCATGCAGGGAGCCCGACGTGGGACTCGATCCCAGGTCTCCAGGATCACACCCCGGGCTGCAGGCGGTGCTAAACCACTGCACCACCGGGGCTTAGGCACTGCTTTCAAATGTAATGCAATTTTGGTGCAGATGACATGATGCTGCGTTTTATAGAAATTTCATGAACTAATTCACTCAAACTAATATTTAGGGGGGACCCACCATGTGCCATGTGCTCCTGGGCGCTAGAGGCCCAGCAGTGAACAAAACAGGGGCATCCCTGCCCTTGGGGAGCTGCTGTTCTAGTGGGAGAGACAGCAATAAAAAAAAATAAATAAGTAGACGAAGGAGTAGATAGATCAGAAAGAGATAAGTGGAAAAATAAAGCCAGGGATGTGACATGAAGTGGTAGAGATAAGATTTTCCATAGGGTGGCTCGTGGAGGTCTTCATCAGTAACAACTGGGAGGATTTTGAGGGAGCGAGGCCAGGTGGGTGAAAGAAGCTTCCAGGCCAGAGCAAATTTATTTTACTAATCTCTAGCTTCTTAGCAATCTATGTGTACACTCAAGAATTCTTAAGTTGTAAGAAAATCTAACCCATACAAGGCTTTCCTATGTAACACCATTTTTAAAAATTTTATTTGTTATTATTATAGCTTTAAGTAATCTCTTAAAGCTCGAACTCACGACCTGCAAACCAAGAGTCACACGCTCTACCAACTGAGCTAGTCAGGTGTCCTTCCAATCCTTCCAATGCAATATCATTTTCAAGGACATTTTGTAGAAATGTCAGCAAACAGCAATTTTGCATTTGCAGATTCTTACATTTTGGAGCTGAAGCTGATATGCTTTGTTATTATTATGGTCAAATTTAGGTCTCTGACATTTTGGGACTCCCTTGATATTGTGCAGGCCCGAGGCCCGGTGTATCTCCAGCATCTGGTGGAGAAAACCTGCCCTGGACGGGAAGGAAGCTGGCGGTCTGCTTCTCACTTCCTCCATCCTACGGTGTTCTGGGCCTGCCTGGGTGTACAGGGAAATAGCACCAGGATTCTCTCATCCTGAGTCAGCAAGGCCTTGAGTGCCAGAAGCCAGCGAGGAGTTACCAGACTTGCCTCAGGTGGCTTTAGGGGCGGGGAGCTGGGCAGGGACCTGGCTCCAGGTGCTGCATACCTGAACACCAGGTGTGTCTCCTGGATGCCTGCGTACTTCCTGTTTGTCAGCTGGGCCAGGCCAGCCTCTGTCTTGAGTCCCCCAATGTCAGCTTCCTCTGTTTTGTGCCATCTTTAGCACCCATGCAGAGGGGTCACTGACAACGCTCTGGTTAGCTTGGTGGAGGGGAGTTTGCGTGAGGGAGGAGCTCAGAGAGGGTACAGGTCAGACATAGGCCAACTAAGTCATCCTCCTGCCCCTCATCCTTTGGAATAATTTCTGGATATTTGGGCAGGGGAGAGGGGAAAGGGAGAATCAGGAAGGGGGGGTAGGGGCAAGCATGGGGAAAAGAAGGGGGTTATTCATGCCCTATAGAGCACACATATGTGCACACATATGCAGGGGGGCAGCCGCCTGCCTACACATAGACACATGGACACAGACTCGGGTACTCAAACTTGACATTGAGCAAACACTGATTGGTTGAGACCTTGCTGTGTTCCAGAACCTGTTCTAGACCCGGGAGAGACAGTGATGAATGAGATGAAGGCTCTGCCCTGTGCCGTCGGGTGGGCAAGACACACAACAAACAGAGCACAACGAATGAAGACGATAACGCCCACGAGTAATCACTGAAGACGCTGTGCTAAGGAAGGCTGGAGGCGGCGGCCACGGTAAATAACACGCAGCCAGGGAGGTCTCTCCCACCGGGTGACATGGGAGCTGAGCCCTCAATCAAGGGAAGGAGACTTTAAAAAGATTGCTCGGGCAAAGTGGGAGCAGGGAGGCTCTTCGCGTTGCACAGGAAACACGCTCGGAGGAGCACTCCCAGGTACGCCCAGGTACACGGACACGCGTGACGCACAGCGACCCAACCAGGCACTCGGCGCCCCTTCTGCGTCCGCGGCTGCTCATGGACCGACACCCAGGTCCTCCCTGCGGGCCGGTGGCCCCACCTGGAAAAGAGAGGACTCCCCACCCCAATATCCCTCTGATCCTGGATGTGCCTGGGGCCCCTCACTCACCTGGGCCGGGACCCGCGGAGCTAGCGAGAGGCTGGGGCAGGGCCGGGGAAGGTGGAGGCCCGCCCTCCGTCCCTCCGGCCCCACCTTCTCCGGCCGCGCCCGTGGGTCACCGAGCCCTTGCACCTGGCTCCGCCCCCGAGGACCCGCCTCCGACAGCGGCCTCCGGGCTCTCGCCCCGCCCCCTCGTCCCCGCCCCACCCCCTTACAGCGGAGCCGGGCGCTGGCCACGCCCCCTTTGGAGAAACTCTGCTCCCATAAGCCACGCCCCCTCGGGAACTCCGTGGGTCCCCGCGGGGGGCCGGGCCACCTGGAGCCTGGCCCCGCCCCTCGGCTGGCCACGCCCACACTCTCTTCGCGCCCCGCCCCTTCGGGCTCGGCTCCTGCATTCCCCGCGGGCCGGCGCTTAAGTACCCCCGACCCCTAGGGACGTGGGAAGGGGTGTCTCTGTCCTCGCCCCCGGGGTCCCGCGCGGGGACTGGGCCGCCTCTTATGGGCTCTCTAGCAGCGCAGGGTGGCGGCTGCTGTGACATAGAGAGAGGTGCGCTTCCTCCAGACCGCCCCCCTGGGTTTCCCGGAAGGGAACTCCACGGGGTGTCGGGTTTTGTGGAGGCAAATGCGGGGAAACACAACAGCCTCCCCGTATAACAGGACGAGGGAGATGAGCTGGACTCGGGGGTGGGGGAGACATTCCCTGGTGGGACGGGGGCTTCCATCCTGATGCTTGGAGCAAGCCTGGAAAGGATGGGGGAGTGATCTGGGACCAGAGGGAGGACGCTCTGGCCACGTTTATTGAGGGGCTTGTGCACAATGATAACAGCGTTGAAAGCAGCAGCCTCACTAACACCCACTGAGCACTTAGTGTGCCAGGACCGTTCTGCTTCCTTGACCTGCTTTGACGCATTTATTTTTTACATCGACGTCTCAGTGAAGTAGGTACCATTTTCATCACCCCCATTTTCCAGATGGAGAAACTGAGGCACGGGGCAGCTAAGCCATTTGCCCAAGTCGACTCGGCTTGTGAGTGTGGCGGAGGTGGTGCGGATTCATACCCGGAGCCCTGGAGCGCCATCCTGTCTTCCTCGCTTCCATCTGCGCAGCCCCACATCGCTCTGATCCCTACCATAATTCTGAACGGTGAAGGTGACTGTCACCCAATTTACAGATGAGGAAATGGACTCATAGAGCGCCCAGGATGGTTGGGGATGAAAAGTTTCGGTGCCCGTGGGATCACAAAGCGGGTGATTTCTAAGCTCAGCTCCTCACCCCCTCCCCACTCCACCCCCGCCCCCTCCCCACCCCCCGCAAATGTGGAAGAGATTCGAGGCTCAGGAGGAGCTGAGGGGAGCCACTTTTTCTTGACCTCCTCCGTCCTAGTTTTGGTACAGTCAGGAGGTAGGGGGGTAATGCCCAAGTGAAGGAGCCTAGCGCTCCCTTGTGGTTAAAGAATTAAAAAAGAAAATCCAAGGGGCGTGCCTTGTGAGATGGTCGGAGGAGGGGAGTCTACTGGGCCTAGTGGGGTGGAGGTGGGGAGAGAGACCTTATAGACAAAATGATTTCAGGTAGTGATAAGGTCTACGAAAGACAGTAAATGTTTGATAAACGAATGGATTAACGACACCATCGAAGTCTATGGAAAGAGATGATGGTGGCCAGGGCCATAGCAATAAAGAAATGAATTTGGGAATGTTAGAGGCAGGGCCGAAAGAAAGCTTCCAACCATGTATTTATTCATTCAACAAATACTTATGGAACATATATATTCATGCCAGGTGCTAGGAACATATGAGACACAGATTTCTAAATAGACAATACAGAAATAAGTCTAATAAAATGTCAGGTTTGTTGGATAGTGATCAGGACTTAATGTAGGGACATGGGAAGGAAAGTCTATGATTTGAAATGGAGAGATCTGGGAAGATTTCATGAGAAGGTGACACTGAACAAAGAACTGTTGGAGGTGAGGGAGTTAGCCTTGAAGTTGCTTGCCTAAGGCGGAGAAGCAGCATGTACAAAGGCCCTGTGGCAGGATTTTGAGGTACATTTCTGGGGTGTCCTGGGGTCCTCGAGGAGCAGTCCCTGCGTGGCTGGAGGAGAGTGGGTGAGGGAAAGTGGTGAGTGGAAGAGGTGAGGAACGTGTCATGTAGGGCCTTGTTGGCTGCAGGGTGGTGAGCTATAAGAAGAGGAGAGACATCATGACTTGCCCAGATGCTCACAGGTGTGCGCCTCCGTGGGGAGGACAGACTGTGGGGATAAGGGGGTGGGTAGCCTGGGGACCAGGGTAGAGGAGGCTATGCTAGGTCAAGCTGAGATGTTGGGTGCCAAACCAAGGCAGAGGCAGAGGAGAGAGGGGTCAGAAGAGAGCAGACGTTGAGTATGTTGCCGAGGTCGTACTGCTCATGGGTTGGATATGGAGGAAGGCGACAGGCCTCAGTAACTCCACCAGCAACCTCCCACTCCCCGGGGCCCAGGCCTGTGTTGAGCTGGTGGGGGAAAGAGATGCCAGGTCCTACATAGAAGGGGCTGGGCTGCAGCTGCTCCCGCCCCCCATGGCTCCTCCTCCTCCACCCCCTCTCAGGGCGACAGTTACAGGCAAAGAAGAGGAAGTGGTAGCTAGCTAGCATAGGCAGGCAGGCAGGCGGTGGAGGCCGCAAGGGCGCGAGGGCTGACCCGGTAAGGCAGCAGCCATGGAGCTGTGGCGCCAGTGTACCCACTGGCTGATCCAGTGTCGGGTGCTGCCGCCCAGCCACCGTGTGACCTGGGACGGGGCCCAGGTGTGCGAGCTGGCACAGGCCCTCCGGGATGGCGTCCTTCTGTGCCAGCTGCTCAACAACCTGCTGCCCCATGCCATCAACCTGCGTGAGGTCAACCTGCGCCCCCAGATGTCCCAGGTGAGCCTGCCATTGGCTGGAGTGCCAAGGGTTGGAGGTGGGGGGCACCCCAGGCTAGCACCAGGGGAATTAATACCCTGAAACTCTGGGTCTGGGTTGTAGAAGGGAATATGCTGCGGACTCTGGGGCTGGCACAGGGGGGATAGGGGGAAGGGATGGAGGGGATGGCAAACTCTGAGATTCTGGGGTGTCTCACCCAAGGTTAACCGGGATGGGTTAATAGGCTCTGGGTTAGTGCACATTTAGACTAAGAACTGACAAACTTGAGGTTAACGCTCCCAAGCCCAGGCTGACTTCACTGAGGTTCAAGCCCCTAGATGGGACTCTGTGGGGGTCTTGAGGGTTACCTGGGAACTCTTAGGTGGCCAACAGGGTGCCTGAGGATTTCACCTCCTTTGACATCCCCCCTCCTCCTTCTGCCTATGGGGGAGGGGCCTCCACCAACTTCTTCCCCCACATGTATCTCCTCCTCCTGGGCCCCTTCCTTCCCCTCACATCTTCTTCCCCTTCGCTTCCTGCCTGGGCCCGGGGCGTGTGGGACGGGTGGGGGGCTGTGAGCCCCTGGGTTCTGGTCTTCTCAGTTCTATCCATCCCAGGGGGACATTGAGAAAAGCCTTGTTCTCCAGCCTAAGACTGGGTCCTGGGGTTTTGGGGCCTAGAAACAGCTGCTCTTTCTCTGTAGGGATTACTGCGAGGGCCCAGGTCCGGGGAGGGTGGATTGTACAGAGCGGGGCCCTGTGAGACTCAGGAAATATATTCAAATCCCTATTTGAATGCGGTTGGGGTGGAGGCGGTAACGTGACTGGATCCCCTCTCTGAAGCACCTTCTTTGGGTCCTTATGGTCTCCTGGGTGCTGGGTGGAAGCAGTGTATGCTGGGGGCTGGGGGCTCCAGGGGTCTCACCTGCCTTGGGATTCTGAGCCGACACTCACCTCTGGCCTTCAGGCTTCACTCTGGAATGAAGGCTTTGGGCCAGGGACTTGTGTTTTGGTGGGGATCCGAGATGCCACGTGCGGATGCGGAGAGGGGAAGTGACTGCTCAGGGAGTGGGCCTGTGGGGGTCCCAGGGGGCATTCCCTGGGGACAGGGTGGTGGGGTTGGGGAGGTGGGTGGCCCACCCTCCTTGGCACAGGCAGGGCTTCCTGAAAGGATGAGGGAACTCCAGAGACCCAGCTCCCTCTGGCTACAGGCCATCCCAGATTTGCCTATATTTGCTTCTCTCCTGGCTTCCAAGTGATGGGGAAGTAGCCATAGGACCTGTCAGGCCCCAGCCCCGCGGGCTGTCAAGGTCCCCAGTGAGGCTTTAACAGCAGCTGATGGGGAAGTGGATAAATGTGAGGATGAACTTCCATCCCCATGCCCACATCTTGCCTACAGCCGGCTGTCGGATGAAGGGCACAAGGGAAGGCAGCTGTGGGGATCGCAGGGCTGCAGCCTCTTTGTGCCAGGCAGTGCTGAGGACCTGCGCCAGGCCTGGCCCTCGAGGTGCTCTCAGACTGGGGGAGACAGACACCCCCTGGCCTGTGTGGTCGGGACTGGGACAGAGGGAGAAAGCTCTGGGCTGGGGGCCCTGAAGCAAAGGCTAGACATTGCCTGGCCATGTCAGGCTTTATGCAAGAGGGGACACCTGTGCTGTGTTTTGAAGCATGAGTAAGAGTTTTCTTGTTGCTCTGGCTCCCTATGGCCAGCTCTGTCAGGCTCCAGGCTGTTCTCCAATCTCCCTAGGTCTGGAGCTCTGTGCCTTCCTGCCTCTGCTCATCGTGTCTCTCCTCAAAGCTCAGCTCGTGCCCCAGTTTCTAGGGAAGAGGGCGGGGAAGAGGGCCTGTGCTCTACGGCAGTTGTGATGTACGTCAGGCCTCTTTTTGCTGCTGGGACAGCGGGAAGGACACACACACACAGAGCCCTGGCGCTGAGGAGCCCGCCTTGTAGCGGGCAAGACTGACAGTGAGCAGATAAAGAAACACGTAACTTATGGGGCACGGGTACGTGCTCTGGAGAAATCAAAGCAGGAAAGGGAGCTCCTGAGTGCGGGGGTCACGCTCTGGAACGGGTGGGCCGGGAGGCCCCACTGACTTGGGCAGAGACCTGGGGAAAAGGAGGGAATGAGCCTTGTGAATCTGGGGACACACTGCCCCTGGCGGGGGTACCGCCATGCAAAGGCCCTGAGGTGAGAGCTTGTGGGGGGGGTCTTCAGAGTCTGGTGGGAGTGGTTCGTTGCTC